GGCAGCGATGGAAGAGCTGAGGCTAGAAGCCTGTTCACATACTCAACATCCTCATCCCTAGGTGGTGTTTTGGTGTGTTTCGTGGTCGTCGCTGCTGGTGGCGTGCTGGCAGCGGGCGCATACGAGGCCCATGCTGTGGCAGGACTGCCAGCACTGCTGCTGGAGGCTGCAACGTGCACATTTCTATGTGCGTCGCTGCTGGCCCCGGGCACATTTCTATGCCCAGCGCCACCTCCAGAAGGCACGTGTGCCTGGGAGGGAACATTTCTATTCCCATCAGGCCTCAGGTTCTTTATTGGCGTGGTGATCACACACCCGTGGGCGCTGTCTTGGACCAGCACCGTGTCTCCGCTGTACGCGATGACGACGCCCTGGCTCACGTACTGAACCGTGCTCCCCACCGGTGGCCACTCCGTGGCTGCTGGGGAGGCTGCTGGGGCTGCTGGCGCCCAAACGGGCTGCGCAACTAGCTGTTGCTGCTGCGGCGGCTCGGGTTGCAGCGGCCGCGCGGGCGTTAGCCTCTTTTGCAGCGCCTGTACGACGGCACTGTCCTGCGCCAAGGGGCCGCGGGGCACATTTCTATGCCCCTGCCCAAGAATTGCACCAACAGCACCATCATCATCGTCATCATCCTGCCGATGAGCCTCTTCCTTCCTCTCCTCCTCCTCCTCCTCCTCCTCCTCCTCCTCCTCCTCCTCCTCCGCCTGGAAAGCTCTCGGCGCTGGTGCCCTCTCCTCGGGGCTGCGGTTCTGTGCGAGTGTCTGAGCGGCGGCTGTGTCCTTCGAGCTGAGAGCGTCTGTCTGGGCTGCGGCGGCGTCCTTCGAGCTGGGAGCGGCTGTCGGGGCTGCGGCGGTCTCTTCTGAGTTGCGACCCGGAGCACGGCGTTCCAAAAGTGGCTTCTCGTCATGCTCGTCGCTGCTGCCCCTGCTCGTCGCTGCTGCCGCTGCTCCTCCTCCGCCCCCCTGCCCCTCCCTGATCATGAAGTGCTCCTCCGTGCCCAGGGTGAATGGTGCCTCCTCCTCCTCCTTCTCCTCCTCGTGCTGGTGCGCCTCGTCCTCCGTGGCGAAGAACGTTTTGCGCGGCTGCTTGCAGTCCTTGGCTTCGTGGCCGGGCTGTCCGCAGTTGTAGCAGAGGTTGTGCGGGCTCTTGCACTCGGCAGCCATGTGGCCTGGCTTGCCGCAGCGGTAGCACTTCACGACCTTGGGGGTGCCCCGCTTGACGCGGGCCTGGTTGTAGCCGCGGGACCGACCCTCGAAGAAGGCCTTGATGTCCAGCTCCGGCACGTGGTCCATGCTCACGAAGGTCTGACCCACGAAGAACCCGCGCCTCGGAGGGCCGCCGGCGGCGCGAGGAGGGCCGCGCTTGGTGTAGCGCTTGACGCCGACGTGGCTCTGCTTGGTCTTGTGCTTGGGAGCGAACCGGCCAGCCGCGGCACGGTACCGGCGCTCTGCCGTCCGCGCGGCCCACCACACCTGGGTGAGGTAGAGGGGGTCGCCTGCGGCCGCGCTCTGCTCCGCCTCCAGGCGGTCGACCGGCCACGGGTCCTCGGCGGCTTCCCGCTCCCACCACTCG